ACAGGCCCACCTGCCCAGGGGTGGCACCACCCACAGTGGGCTGGGCCCTCCCTCATCACTCATCAAGAAGATGCCCCTCAGACATGGCCACAGGCCAGTCCAATAGAGGCAATTCCCCAATTGAGGCTCCCTCAACCCAGGTGTGTCAAGTTGACACTAAAGCTATCCAGCACAACATCCAATAAAAAGTAGAACAGTATTTACCCAAGAAGGCAGTAACTAATTCAGGAGCGGAGCTACCTGCTGCCATGAAAGTTGCACCTGCAACATCCTGAGACAGTCCAAGGGCTAAAGAGAAATGAAATATTATTATTATTATTATTATTATTGCTGATAAAGTGACAGAATATGGAACTTTACATAACATGGATAACGGACTTAAGCTGGATAAGTAAAACACATGGTTAGAAAATAGAGGACTTCTTTGTCTTGCCTTCTTTATGAACTCATTGCTTAATGTTTCTATAGAAAAATAGGGCTGATAAGGTGGCTTAGCATGTAAAGATGCTTGCTGTGCAAGCCTGGTGAACTGAATTCGATTCCTGGAATCCACATAAGTATGGAAGGAGAGAAGTGATTTCACGGTTGTCACGTGGCCTACACAAATGTGCCATGACATGTGCTTGCTCATATACACACAAACATACACATACATAAGACAATAAAAATGTAAGGGTCTATAAAATGACTCGGTGTTAAGAATGCTTGCCAACTAGTCTGACTACCTTACTTCTGTCTCCAGAACCACATGGTAGAAGGCAAGAACCCACTCCTGCAGGTTGTCCTCTGACCTCTACACATGTGCTCTGGAATTGTCCCTCCCCCCAGGTAAATAAATGTAGAATTAAAAAGGAGCGGAGACCAAAAGAGACCACTTTCGCTACATGTAGATGCGGGATCATAACTTCTTATGGAAGTATGGACAAAAGAGATTACAGTAGTAGTTCAGGATTCCTAACCAAACTTGGAAGAAGAAAAAAGGTTCCAGTGGTTTGTAAGATCTATAAATAAAGCCGAATTCTTTTTACACATTTGCAACACCAACACTCTAATTAGAAAGAAATTAGTTAACTGAAAGTGCAATAAATACATTATGCAATAATATAAAAATATAAGAAAGTGCTATTAGTTGTTAGTTTATATCTTCCAGACTTACAAGCATGCAAGTCCTTTCAGTTAATTGACGGTAGGATGAGTCGGAGTTTTGGCTCTCTCAGTGTTAGAGCTGGGAGCTATTACAGCTAGAAAAGAAAGCCACATTGAAGAAACGACTCAGTTTTTGCTTTGGGAAAATCTCTGTTCAGGCACTTGGTAAAGTTTGCCAGTAGAGGTAGCATGCTAGGTGATACATTACCCAGACTAGAATTCAAGTTCTTTTGTGTGTCACTGTGTGTGCATGTTCATGTGTATGTGTGCCTGTGGAGGCCAGAGCTCTGGTGTCTTTTCTCAGTGCTCTTCACTTAATTTTTGAGAGTCTCACTGAACCTGCAGCTCGCCAGTTTGGCCAGGCATCCTCCTGTCTGCATCCCCAGTATTGGGATTACAGGTGTGCGTCGCTGTACCTGACTTTCTGTGTGGGTGCTGGGGATCTGAACTCAAGTCCTCAAGCTTGTGCAGCAAGCATGTGTACTGATTGAAGCATCTCCCAGCCACTAGACTCCAGATCTCTGAGACTTGCTGGCATTCCTTTGTGGGTGTTTGCTACTTCTACACAGTGTACCTACTGATTCTCGGTCCTTTAATTTTCTTGACCCTCAAACTCTGGTGCTAGCATGTGTGAACATGAATGAACGATTGTGCCTGCTTTGAGGCACAGAGGGGCCTTTGCAGTGCCAATATTTTCAAGACCAGGATGCTAAAAATGGTAAAATTTCTGAGCTGGGTGTGGTGGTGCATGCCTTTAATCCCAGCACTTGGGAGGCAGAGGCAGGTGGATCTCTTCGAGTTCAAGGCCAGCCTGGTCTACATAGTGAGTTCCAGGCCAGCTGGGGCTACAGGGAGACCCTGTCTCTCAAAAAGACAAAGAAAAAAGAATTTCCTCAGTGTCCTCTCTTGGGACATTTGCCTTAGTGCCCAAGATACCACAAAAGTTCTGCCTTGAAACTGTCATACTAGAGGGAACTCATGAAGAGCACATATGGACAAAGGTGCCTATGGAATTCCTGTGGTCTCGTCTAGATTTTAAATCTTCCTAGACTAGGTGCTAGCCATGTGAGAGAGGGAGACTTCATATGATTCCAGATCTATCTCCTGTCTGTAACTGCAGTGGAGACCTTAAGCAGGAACCCACTATCTGAACTCAGTAACCCCTAAAACTAGGAGTAGGGACAATGATGATTCATGACTGTAAGCCTCTACCTTTGGAGGTGGTTTGTTAAGCAGCAGTAATCACCTGACTCATTCACTGACAGTACCAACTGTACCAGATGCTTTTCTGTGTGCTAGGGTATGGCAGTGGACAAAGACTGCTGCTCTTAAGTAGCTATAGTTACTGCATCGGGGAGAGGCGAGTCAGCTAAGTATGTGCATTTTAGAGAAGCAGCGAGGAGCAAAGATAGAAGGACTGAAATCTTGGGTAGCCGGACGAAACTTCCCCAAGGAGAGATTTCAAGTGAGGGAGTAGGCCCCTTGGCCCTCCTGTGTGTAGGTAAGAGTATTCTAGGCAGAGTTCGTGACCGCAAATGACCTCAGGTGGCTTCTAGCCTGTGTGTTTGAAATGGAGACCTGTGTCTTGAATGACAAACAGGAAGGGAAAACAATAGGTGATGAGGTTGAAGGAACATCATTTAAGGACCTTGTAGACACTGGTAACTAAAGACTTGGGCATTTCTTCTCAAATCCAAGGGAAGTTTGTGGAAAGTCATCCCCTTACTGTCTGTCTTAGTCCTTTGGGGCTATTCAGTTATCAGGGGCCATGCAGCTCTAATTTGAGCTGTTCTGCCAACCAAGTAACTTCTATTGTGAACAGCATTCAGAATAGTTGGAATGACCCAAGCCAAGCCCTCTGGTTTATTCCTTACATCACCTAAATATCTGCCTTCAGTGAACAAGGAAGGAAAGTAATGGCTTGTGGTCTTTCATAGCATTTCTTTTACTGCTTAGAGTGACATGCAGATAGGACTTACATAATCCATAAATGTTCAGCCCTGTCTTCACAGGTTCCATAACCTCAGAGTCAACCACCTGTAGATCAAAACTATTCAAAGAAATAAAAACTACCTCTGTCATGAACATGGACAAACTCTTTTTCCTATTAAATCATGAACAATCCAGCGTAATGGCTATTTCCATAGTATGTTTACTGTAGTGTGTAGAAATGATTTAAGGTACACAGGAGGGCATGTGAAAGCTATGAAGATGCTTAGATGATTTTATATAATGCACCTGAGCACTCAGATTTGGGGATTCTTAGGTCCCAGAACCAGTCCCCCAAGGATACTGAGCAATATCTGTGTGTCTTGCACATATATAATGTAATCAGTATATGTACATATAGATACACATAAATATCCACACATATTAGTAACATAAAATTGAACAAAAAGAAAAAGATTGTTCTATAACTCATTATTTCATTTGAGAAATATCTTACAATCATGCCATACAATTTACTTAAACTTTCATAAACTTAGTAATGCCAGCTCTTCAGATATGTGAGTTGGTATTTACATTTTACAAAAGCTTTTGCCTAGTAACTCAAACAGAGCATTTGCCTGGTATGCATGAGGCCCTCAGTTTGATCCTGGGTACATACAAACAGATCAGGTCCTGGAGTCCTGTGTATAGTAAGGGTTGTAAGTGTGGGGAATAAGGGTGTAGCACTGCATCCCTGGATTCTGAGTCCAGTGCTATTTTTCTTCACCACTGAGATTCAGTGAAGACTAGAATAAAGGTAGACAAGTTACAACCTTGTGGGCAACAGAATTATTTCCTGGTTTCATAGTATTGTCACCATAACTGTCTATTCCATCCTTTTTCTACAGGGTTTTTTTGGGTTGTTGTTGCTGTTTTTGTTTTTGTTTTTTGAGACAGGATCTCTTGTCTCCCAGGCTGACCCTGAGCTTACTAGACAGAGATAACCTTCAACTGCTAATCCTCCTGTCCCTATCACCCCAGTGCTGGGATTACAGCTGTGTGCCACCATGTTTGTTTTATGCAGTGTTATGGATTGAACCCAAGGCTGTATGCATTCTAAGCAAACACTCTACCAACTAAACCACATCCCCAGGTCTCCCATTCTTTTTTTTTTAAAAAAAAAACTTTTTATTTATTTTTGTGTATGAGTGTTATATGTGTGTGTATGTAAGAGCACCCATGTTGTGCAGTGCCAGAGGACATCAGAAGTGGGTATCAGTTACAGATGGTTGTTAGCCACTATGTGGGTGCTGTAATTCCAACCCAGGTCTTCTCTAAGAACAGCCAATGTTCTTAACCTCTGAGCCCCCACCCCCTTCCATTCTTAAGTAGGAGAACATTAATTGCTGGGAGCCAAGACTTCCTTGACAGTTTTCTAAGAACTTAAAATTTTAGTGTTACAAGTTACGTTTTGTCTTCCAAATAAAATGCAGGAAGAAATTGGAAAGGAAGACAGTGCTTTATCTTCAAGTAATGATACACGTTTGGTGCCACCGAAGACTGACCCATCTTCATTTAATGCTAACTGAAGAATGCTTCATTAGGCAAATTCAATTTCGAGAGAGAAAAGGTGATGTATTGGGCTGTGTCCACGTGGGAAAAGAGGTGGCCCCTTAGAACTTGTTTGGTCTCAACAGGCAATAAGAATAAAGCTTTGTGCTGTTCACTGCTCTCTAACTGAAGTTATGAAAGGAAGGATTCTGTATAAATGGATGAATGAAACTTCAAAGGTATTTTTACAAATCCCATTATAAGGTTCTAAGACTATTTTGTAAAGTGCTTTATATCTTTGAACTTTAGAATAGATTGGATTTGTCTTCCTTGACCTTTGGAAACATTTCTCTGCTGTAGTTTATTATTAAAGATAAATTGTTCTGCTTTTTCCCCTTCTATGGCCATTACTCCATTCCCCTCCACTTCTCTAAAAGAATAACCATGTTTCATTCAAGATGCAGTAGCGATGTTCCAGGTACCCGTCTGTAGGTACCTGGCAATGAGCTGATTTTATGGTTTACCATCCTTTCCCTGTGTCTTATCTTCTGTAATCCCATGTTGGAGTTTTGTGGTGACTTTTTAAAATCTCCTTCTGTACCATATAGTAGAAAGAATATTAGGCTAAAACTGAGATCTAAATTCTGGCACTACCAATAATTTGATATGAGACTTTAAGAGAAGTCACATAGAAAAGCCTTGTATTTTACCATTTGTAACACATGGAGGGCTAGACTTTACAATCTTTAGGTTGTATTCTAAATATATTAATTTCTAAATATATTATTCAGTATTTAGTGGGGAGATGAGGTCTTGCTATGTAACCTGGCTGGCCTGATGCTCACTGTGTAGCATAGAGTGTTCTCAAGCTCATGGCAATCTTCTGTATCAGCCTCACAAGTGCTGGGATTATAGGTATTAAATATTTCAGCCTTTGCTCAAAACATAGGGTATAAATTCTATTCCTCACAAATCCATATAATTTTAAGTGTAAAGTAAATTCTATCTATAATTTCAAAAAATCCAATACTGCATTATCGGAAATATGGAAGATGGTGAGGGGATGGAGGAAGGGTTACTTAAATTTTCACCATTATATTTTTCCTTTTTTATTGAATATTTATGAATTTCATACAATATATTTGGATCATATTTAGATCCCTTCACCTATCCGCATCCTCCCTTACTAACTTCCACCCCCATTTCATGCACTGTGTTTTATATATACCTATATTAGATATATATCCTAGATATATATGGGATATATAGTCAAATTTGTGTCCTTCAAATGTTCTTTGCTGTGGATCCATTCACTAGCACCTGGTCACCAAGAGTCACATCCTTAAAAGAGACTGACTCTCTTCCTAGCAGCCACCGGTTTCTAATAGTGCCTCAGTGGGGTTGGGGTTTCTCACCCGCTTCCTCACCGTCCATTATATTTTAACCACTTCCTTCCTTCAGTGTATTTCCAGCCCTCTTTGCAAAGCACACATCAAGCCCTAGCCACTGGCTTCACACGGTTTGATGTCCTCTGGCACAGCGTTGAGAAGTCTACAAATCTCCATGCTCTGTGAATGCATTCACTTCAGAAGCTGTTAAATCACCTCTAGTGATGAGGGTTGTGTGTGGTCAGACTGAGTCATTCATTCTACGTAGGTCCAAAGTGAAATGTGACAACATATTGTTTTTCCTTATTAAAAATTGTTCTGAAATTAATTTCAGATATATTTATAGAAATCTTTTGAGCAAAGCAGTGTAATTTGAATGAATGCCTTATGTAACTATATATGTGCTCTGCGGTTGTTTTTAGCAATAAATAATTCCGTTACCTTATATTTAGCACCTCGTATTTTCAACTGCAGAGGAGTGAACACTGATACACCTCTATGTTTCTGAAAGTCTGACTCTGCTGAAAAAAGACTTCCTGCCAGGTGTGGTGCTGCACACCTTTAGTACCAGCACTTCGGAGCCAAAGGCAAGTGGATCTCTGCGAGATTGAGACCAGCCTGGTCTACAGAGCAGGTTCCAGGCCACCTAGGCCATGGGGAGATCCTGTCTCACAACAACAAAACAAAACAACAAAACAACACAAAAGAACTTCCTTCAATTTCACAGTTGTGACATCACTTACTAACATGGCTGTAACCTTAACAGGATGGGAATCTGCATCTTTTTGACGCCAAAGAAGCGACTCTTTTGGCAGTCCATGTGGATAAAGTGGTTGGTACGTAGCTTTATTTTCATTATTACTGCTTAACCTTGTACCAGCATCTCGGGAATACCCAGAGCACTTAGCACTTATCTGGATCCATGCACCCACTGCAGATGCAGACCAGAGTTCATAGCAGAGAACAAAAATCCACTGGAGAATCCGCCTTGCCTTCAGAGGCTCAGACAGCAGGGACAAAGCACTATTCTCAAGGTCTCTGTTCTTTGGGAAAGCTTTTGCCTCTATAAATTTCATGTGGATTAAGAGTCAAATAATTCCCTCATATGTAGGCTATTCAAATACATACTCACAGAATTATTAGACTCCCAGTTTTACAAATTAGAGCCAACCAAGTCTACCTGGAATTAAAACTTGTATTTTTTAAATTGTCTATTTATGAAACAATGTACTTCAAAGCAGAGGGAGTAAAACTAATTTTTTTAAATAAAAAGTAAATCTTTAAAATGTTTTCCTAAAAAGTATAAAGGTGATTTGCACATAAGATGTGTTATAACTCAAAGATGTCAGCATGGTGGAAAGATTAGGCTTTATAATTGAATAGCATACTGGGGTAGCATTTAAAATGGAAAGATTTATGAATAGTTTGTTGTGGGATGTGGGGTGCATTAAATGACTATTCTTAAGGGCGTCTGAATTTTCCACGTAGATATCTTAGAAAAATGTAAAGAAAGCTACTCAAAAGAGTCTCACTACATCTGAGATGCCTATGATATGCCAAAAGGATATTGCTTTCTTTTATGCCAAAGTCTATGTTTCTAAAAATGAACTTTGTATGGAAATAAGCAATAATCCTATTTGAGCTGCATGCTAACGCTGTGTACCCAGTAAACGTTATGTATATCAGTTTGTATTTAGTGGTATCACTTTTTGAACAGAGATTACTAAAATGGAATAAAATGGTGTGGATGCTAATTCAAGAAAGAAAAAAAGGGATTTTAAACAGAGATAGGAAGTGATAGTGTAACGTTGCCACATAGATTATTAGATAAAATAAAGGGTTTTATGAGCTTACATCCTGCCTTGTGAGACAGTGTCTGATTTTGTTCACCTTAAGTCTGGCCTTCAAGCTGTAACAGATGCACCATAGATTTGATATTTGCTCCAAACACATTTTTATTAACTTTGACTATTTACCTTTTGTTTTTCCTGGGTAAAGACTTCTAATCTTTGTGGTCTATTCTTCCATAGCAATGAACATTGAGTGACTGTTTACTGTGTGCTAGCTACTTGTATAGGCAATTTACTTATAGTTTCTCATGTACATAGGACAGAGTTCTATGAACTAAGCTCTTTCATAGCTGCCATGACTGAGGCAGAGACTATTAAGCACTTTCCAAAGGTCACAGAGCTGGTACATTGTGGAGTTGGGAGCTGAATCCAGGTGTATCTGACTCTCAGTCAGGCACTTTAAAAAATTATTTATTTTTATTTTATGTGTATGTGTGTATTGCCTGCATGTAGGTAAGTGCACCCGTGTCATGCAATTCCCATGGAGGTCAGAGAGGCTGTGGGATCCCCTAGGGGGACTGGAGTTACGGACAGTTGTTAGCTGCCATGTGGGTGCTGGGATATGAACCTGGGTCTTCTGCAAGAACAACCAGTATTTTTAACCACTGAGCCATATCGCCAGCCCCAGTCAGGCACTTTTACTATAGTAATATGTTGCTACAGCATGTGACCCCACCATGTCCTCCCTTCCAGTCCTCCAAGGATCTTCAGCAGTGTCATAGACCTTTCAGCAAGCATATCAACAGAGAGAGAAGGAGAGAGAGAAAGAGAGAGAGAGAGAGAGAGAGAGAGAGCCAGTAAAACAGACACAACTACAAGGTAATATGACTAACTTCACAAGCCAAGCACGAGGGTCTTAGACATAGCATCTTGAGCCAGGCTTAGGAAGATAGGCAGGTACCACCAGGCTCCTGTTCTTCCTTGTCATGTAGAATCTGTTATCTCTTGTCTCTGTCTCTCACACCTATACCCACTCCTCAGTGTATCCTCAGCTAAGAACCTAGAGCACAGCAGGTAGGGATGAGGAGAACTCATGACTTTATTATTACCACATATTATTACCACATATCCTTCATCTAGCTTGACTCTAAGATGAACTCAGTGTTCTCCCTCTGATAGCATCTCTTATTGCCTTTCCCAGAATCTCCATTTTGTTTTCTACCACAGAAGACAGTTATTTCCTTCTAAAGTTAAAATGGGTGGACAACTGGAGCATAGTATGTTTTCTCTGTATAACATGGATTAATTTCACTTCAGCTTTCTCTGTTCAAAGAATCCCACTTAAGGGCTGAGGAGATGGCTCAGTGGTTAAGAGCACTGACTGCTCTTGCAGAGGACCCAGGTTTGAATCCCAGCACCCACATGGTGGCTAATGACCGTCTATAATTCCAGTTCGAGCAGATTCCAACACTCTCTTCTGACCTCCATGGGCATTGCACAACAAGGGTGCACTTTACAAGCATGCAGGCAGTACACTCATATACAATAATAAAAAAAAAAGAATCCCAGTTAACTCCCCTTCCTCTCTAGCCTAAATGGAAGAGGAGGAGGAGGGAGAAGGGGAGGAAGAGGAGGGGGAGGGGGAAGGGGAAGAAGAGGAGGAGGAAGAGGAAGAGGAGGAGAGTGAGGAGGAGGAATTAGAGAAGGGAATATAGCCAATATCATTTTCTTGTAATGGTTTCACACAACAGAGATAATGCCAAAATATCTCAGGCTGGCCAGAGATAAATGTATGGTCTTCCAGGGTTGAAGGGTGGAGGTGGGATTGTGTGACTTTTATGATCATAAGTAGAGCACAAGCAAAAGAAAGAAGGA